ACGACGGCCATCTTGGATGGTACACATACATAACTCTGCATTGCTGCGCCATCTTGTCAACACTCTAGTTGTTTAATAGCTCTATGGACTACTCATACAACAGAAATAAACGTCGCATGGAGTTAGTAAATAATGGAGATCTAAATGAAAAAACGATGTATTTCAGCAAGTATTAAAACCTTTTTGTTTTATTTTAGGCCTTCTTCAAAATACCTATGCCACAGCAGTTGATTTTATATGTATATAGGGCAGCCTCATTTGACAGAGAATACAGTAATCTCTTTTTGGCTGGTGTATACATGTATAAAATCGTGCGGTTATTCATTAGGCTAGGCTACGGCCAAGGAGGATGCCTTGGCGGCCTACTTGCCTGGCTTTAGGCCAGCATCTAATTTTGTTCATTCAGTCTTTAAAATAGGTCTAGAATATTCCTATTAAACGTTCAGTTTATTTAGTTTATGAGGACCCATTAATTCAAGAAATTGCTTTTTGGTGATCCGCTCCACTAGCAGATCACCTCTTGTTACTGTCAGAGATCTTTTTTTTTTATTCTAGCTTCTCCCCATTTCTTGTTAGCACAATATCTAAAAATTGGCACGAGATTCATACATGCACGCTTCGACAAACATTTAGCTTGGCCTGGAATAGTCACAATAAGGTTTTCAAAGTGCGCAGTTATGCGTGATGTCATCTACGCGCAATTTCACATTTTTACATTATAGATCATATCAGCCTAACCAATTGCCATTTCGAAATCGTATTAAGTGAGCATTAACTTCAAGTCAATGTTAAATGTAATGTACCCTAATTTTACGCGTGTGCGTCATAACGCGCGCGTACGCGTGCGTCAAAATTTTAAAATGCTCGAAATCACATTTAGATTAAATTAGAGCACGTTTCAGGCCCTTTTGTGCATTTCAAAATTTCTTGAAATTTACCACCGTGTGCATTTTTACACGCGCAGCACGTATGGAAGTTAGAAATTATTTTTTTGTCACATTTTGGGTTCCTGACATTGTTTCCAATCTTTTTAATCACTCTATGGCCAATAACAATGCCGTATGCACGCATCAAACATAGTGACCTTTGTTCGCATTTGTGCCGATATACAGTGAAATTTTGCTAAAAGCAGGCCTAATTTTAAACAGTTACAGCTCTTTAGGATGAAAGGTGACCCCCAATTTTTATTACATATTCTGAAAGCACATGAGTTGTAAATATGATTTTATAGGTCATAATGGCTGATCGGACATTATGACGTCATCATATTGCCATTTGAATTAAGAAAAAAATTATTATTATTATTATTATTTTATACTCGTTTGAACATATCTCGCTTATACTTGATTGATCTTCTCCCACCTGTGAGTATGTTGTAGCTGAGACAATTCTCTTTCGGAAGTGTCCCTTTATTTTTTATTTTGACGACGTCATCATGGTCAAAAAGAATGAATTTTTGGAGCTCTCTTATCTCTCTTCAATTTTGTCAAAATTTGAGATGGCGGCAGAGTGTATTTCGACGCTATCAGACTGACATTCTGGAAAAATTTGTGTGGCATTACCAACGAAGAGGCGTTTTTAAATTACACTTGACAAGGTTCAATTTCGTGTGCCATTACCGTCCATGCGCACGCCGGTGCGTGTGTGGCAAAATTTAGATATTCTCAATATTACTATTCAGATAATTTAAAGCATGTTTCAGGACATTTTCAGCATTGCAAAACTTTCCATAATTTATCCACCTTACGCTCATTTTTACGCACGCAGCACGTACTGAAGCTGGAAATTACAGTTTGTTACATTTTTTGGGTTCCTGACTTAAGTATTCATATAAGGAATTAACTTTGTGTGTCATTAACATGCGCACAGGCGTCAAGACGTCCTCCGTACGCAAGCGTAAATCTTTTAAAATGTTTAAAATTACACTTTAAAAAAAAATCTAACTAGAGCATATTTTAGGCCATTTTGAAAATTTAAAAACATTTCAATCTGCACCGATCGCGCTTCCTGAGGGTCGAAGTGCGGCAGATCACCAAACTCGTCCTCAGTGACGAGTTCAAATCTAGTTCATATTGAATTTGAAGTAACTTCCTTCGGGTTCTAATTAACCTTGTTTTACGAAAGTGATATTTAATTACAATTCAACTTTCATCTCGGTGAGCGATAACTTCGCAGTGATGAAAAATTTCATAACATTAAGAGGTGCAGTGATGACATACGTCACGATTGACTTATATAATGGTAATTATAACATAAAAAATGACGAATAAATAGGAATATTATTGTACTGCTGTCCTGGGAGGAGTGAGTGATCTCTGATCACACTTGACAAACGAACAATCATAACATATACTTTCTTCAATAAATTCCTTTATTTTACCAAGTGAGATTAATTGTAAACAATATCATAGAAATAAATACTCCGGCCAGTTATAAAGTTTATAATAGTATAGGTAGCGCCCTCTATCTACTAAACCCAATAAACTTTCACATTATTGAC